GAAAGTTTTTAAAACTAACAACAATGGCAATAAAAATCACCAACAACAACAGAAACATGGGTTAAATAAACGTTGAAACGGTGTAGGGGAGGGGATAGGGGGTAGGGGGTTGGGGGGGGGGGGCTACACTGTGCACCAGAATGGTTTTTAATACACTCTCAGGCCCACGCAACACCTAAACTTTCCCACACACACACACGCACACGCAGATACACAGATACTCGTACACACACACAAAGATGGCGCACATAACGGTAACTCGACATCGTCTCCATTGCGGCCATGATTGTGGCTTGTAAAATTTATAGTTTCACCAAGAAAATCGCGTTGGCAAAACTTTTTACAGCTATGTAGGTCTCTGCCACACCCACACACACTCATGCCACGCCCCCACCTGCCACCTGCCACCTGCCACCTACCACCTCCCCCACATACACAATCGCAATCCCAGTCAGCCAGTTGGCGACATCTAATTGCTTTTGTTTTGGGGCACACACGAACACGGCCAGAGACAGAGAGACAGAGAGACAGACGGGGTACAGTTGTGTCAAAGAGGTTACCACAGTTACGGAAGCCCTTTCGTTAAGGTAATTTTCCGCTATAATTTGTATGACTTTTTTTTTCTTTGCCCGTCCCACTTAGGGTTAAAAGTTGAAAGTGTTGTAAAAGTGTACTCCTACTCGTACTCGTATTGTACGCTTGAATTGAGCTTGAATTGAGGTTAGTTCTTGGCAGGCAAGGGATGTGTTCCGATTGGATGGGGTACTAAAGAAAAACCAATGAGGAAATTACCTTAAAGACAGGCTCCGGTTTACTTTTGAAAAACGCAAGAAGTCTTGCTCCCTTTATCGCAAAACGCATTGCCGAAATGGAAATTATCTAACCAAACGAATTTTTAATTGCAAAAGGAAAACAACCCATGACTAATTGATGCCTTGATGGCATTTTAGCTTTTCCCTATTTAATAAATAATTTGTTTGTAACCCAACCTCAAATTTTGCTTTGGAATAATTGGCTCTTCTATGTTCTCTAACACACAAACGTGAAGATTCTTCCAGAATCTGATGGATTGGATCTGTTTCGGATCTATTCGGAGAGTGCCCGGGAGAGCGCCCGATGTTTGACGATGTGTGGATGCAGCTTATTCGATATTTCGAATGTTGCGCCTTTGGTGCGCCTAACAGACTCAGTTTCTTCGATCACTTGGGCAAGTTCTCTTTCGATTGCTTTCACTCTTCCCTCCTTCGCTTAAATGGTAATGATTTAAGGTCTTTTTACACACCTTATGAATACAGAGGTCCTACATACTGGCCTGCCAGATCATTATCGGGATTAATCGCCTTTCCAAATGTTAAACTGGTAGATTGGTTTTTTATACGACTTCCAGTACTTCTCATGAAGTCCATCGGTTTTGTACTTGTAGGAAAGTAGGGGAAGGAAATGGAATAGTTTTAGTATCTTCTCCGCCTTCTAGGTTGTATATTTACCCCCATGTAACGGCTTATTCGCTCTATTTCCTCACCAAATGTATCCTTAAGCCTGATGTAAATCGAATCAAATAAAACAGACCTACCTTCACCGTATCCTCTACTCCTCTACCTCCTTATAGATTGTGAGAATTTCTCAAGACATTTGTTCGACATTCGTGGTGGAAAACGAAACAAAGCTGCAGCTGCAGATGAACTTTATGCAAATGTTACGGGAATTTCTGCCGCATGCCCCATCCGCGCTACGCCGATTACTCATTGCCGAGTGGGTGGTGACAAAAAGCAAGAAAGTCCAACCTTTTGATGCCCTTCCAGATGCCAGCAGCATAGAGAAGGGTTCCGCCTTGGAAAGGGTATACTAGGGGCGGGGCTGTGGACTATTTGGCTGCTTGCTTAATTAAAATGCGGAGGCAGTGCGAGCGCTTCATTTGGCCCGCTTAATCGTCCTGCCACAGATTCGCATCGGCTGAGGGCCGACTCTCACAGCCAGGACCCAAATCCAGACTCAGCTTCGTGGTGTTCCCTGTTGTTTCCGTTGTTTCCGCCGCTGTTGTTGCTTTGCTTGTAAAGTGTCAAGTTTTTCATTATAATTTGCATATTTTTCGCCAAATATTCGTCTGCACCTCCATTGCCAGCGAGCCCCCGAGCCCCCCCCCGGTCCGTGGCAACAAGGCAAATGACAACAATAAGCATTATGGCATGAGGCCGCCTCGGCTGTGGTTCTAGACAACATTCCAGGGTGCGGGGCAGGACAGGACAGGACAGGACCTAGGCTACATGCTTGCCTATCCTGCTAGATACACAGAATGTATCTCTTAAGCCATTTTCAAGTTTAATTCCTTGACTCCTCCTCCCCCGGCCGGTGCGGCTCTCCGAAGATGTTGCCGAGCCGCGGCGCATAATCACGCGAAATCTGAAAACGTGTCTGGTATAATAATGAGCACTGATTATAACTTGAAATTGTGTGTAAAAGTACAGTTGTGTGCACAAGTTATGCTACGTGCGACTGCAAAAAAACAAAACAAAACAAATGAAAATTCGCCAAACTTTGATGGGAAGCCGGGAAAAAGGAAAAGACAATAAAGCGAGAGGCTTTCCTTGGAGAGAGTTTCTTTTTAGCCAAAATCTATAGGCGGCCAATGTACTCGTACAATTCTTAACCACTGTGCCACCTTTTTTTTTTGTTCTTTTCTTCCGAGTCTTTTCCTTCTCTCTCTCTCTCTCTCTCTCTCTCTCGCCTCTCATTCGATTTGATGCGTATTTAAACTTAAAATGAACTCTTCTTAATCAACTTTCAGCAGGAGCTGTGCGTCCAGGGCAGCAGGAACTAGCCTGCTCCCCACCCCCCGATGCCCCCCGGCGCCATTGTTATGTGGTATTGTGCCAACATGGATGATGGCATGTCCTCTCTTCTCTCTCTCTCTCTCATCCTACACGTCCGCGTGCTCCATCCTGGAGTACGTGCGGAGAGCCTGCAGGATATTATATAATGTGTAGTAATTTGAATTTGAAGTGTGTGGCATGGAATGGAGCGACGACTGACGCGTCATGCCCTCTGTCGATTTTTCTTTCTTCTTCCTCTGTCACTCCCCCCCCTCTGGCTCGTCTCGTCCTGTGAGCCCTAAAGGAAACATCACAAATGTTCTCCCATCCCAAGGACCATGTGGGAGACGGGATTAATGAGATTTTCTTTTATGGATTTATGATGATTATTTTGCTGTTATTAGAGTCTAGAAGCGTGACAGTCGATTCTCCATTTTAAAGTAATCCTTTGATATATGACTCGGCCACGGGAAGGATCCCAGACACTGTGTTTCCACTCCACTCCACTCCCCTCCACTCCACTTTCAAAGCCCCACTAAATCACAAAAATTGCATGCAACCGCCGCCCCATTAGCCGGCTCTTATTTATGGCAACGCGACTTTCAATGACAATTCAATATATTTTTGGGATATTCCTCCACCAAAAAAAAACTAAAAAAAAAATGCAGAGGATATGGTGGGGAAACGTAATCAAACGTCGGTCATTTTTGGTTGGTCCTCTGGCCTCTGGTCGGGGCCATTTTGGCCTGGCCGAAACAGACACCAGCTATAAACCATTACAGACGATTAATTTCATTATCCGCGCCGCGAGAGGCAGATCAAAAACAGCAGCAGATTTATGCCCACGACCGCAAAAATATCGCCTGCAATTTTCCAAACAACCCGTCGTTTCTTTATTTTTATTTTTATTTTGTAATTTTTTTTTCTGATGATAATTTGGCTGTATTCCGCTTTTGTGCCGTGTTCCAATGATGGATTGATCGAGGCGATAGAGCGTAAATGTTCTTTTATGGCATCACAATCTAAATCCCAGCCCCCCCCCCCCCCCCAAAAAAAATAGACAATGAAATGGCCTGGCCCCAAATCCCAAATCCATAAATTGGCATGCTTTTTCTTTGTTTTCTTTTTGTTTTATTGCCCTGAAAGATAGGGTTTTCTTGTATTTAATTATGATTTATTTTAAAAGGCTTTTATTAATTATTTTTAGTGGCAATTTTTGGGCAATTTTTATCTGTGGGGTCTGGGGTATTCCTTTTTTGGTTTTGAAGAAGTTTTCTGTGGGATAATGCAAAGAAAGAAAGAAAATACAGAGACTCCCGTTTCGTATTTGCTGAGCGCGCGCTGTCGAGAGCGAGAAATAAGAACTAATAGAGAGAGAGAGAGAGACAGAGGTAGAGCACTGCAACGATGCCATAGGGAGAGCGTATGTATTCCACTCGTTCCCGCTCTCTTTCGCTTGCTGTTGTTTTTGCATGCTTGCACTTGAGAGCAAAGCTCGTAAACGAAGTGGAGATCCACAGATAAGACACTCTTCCTTTCACTCGCACTCATGGCGTGTCTACTCTTCTACGCTTGGCTCTCACGAAAACCACCTGGAATGGAATACAAATTACAAGAATAGCGGATCATGCGGCGAAGTAGCAGAGACCAAAGCACAAAGGAAAACGGAATAAACAGAGGAATGGATGAACGTGTGTACACTGAGAACAATTTAGAACTCAGTCAAGGACAAAAAATGAACTGGGAATTTATGGAGCACGCTCTGATTGGTGCCCAGCACCTGGAACGAGCGGATATTGTGGAGGCTCTGCTGATTCATTTGTTTTCTGATTTCTCTGATTCGCAAAATATCTGGATCTAGTAGTCCTGGATAAATACTCACCTCGTATTTAATCGTTAAACAAACCAGAATTTTCAGATCATTCAGTTTGTTCGAAAAGTCGGAGTGAATCGGACGTAAGTTGAGTTCAAAATTTAAATCCACTATTCGGATCGACAAAAATTTGGAAGTTCGGAAGTGCAGAAATTATTTTCAATATTTTTTTTTGTGTTTTTTTCAATCAGTGTTTCCTGTTTTCTATTTTCCTTATTTTTAACAGGAAAAGAAGGATAGATAATCATAAAGTAAAAGAAAAAGTCCTTGAAAAGTATATAAATCCCCAATCATCTGGGGGTTTTCAATCAGTCACAATGGAAAAGAAAACAGAAAAGAAAACATCGAACTTGGAATCGAATAAAACATTGAAGCAGGCCATATCCATATCCGTTGATGCCATTGTGAAAATCAAGGCCAAAAAGAGGAGCGCTAAGGAGGAAGCCGAGAAAGTGGCTGGAGAGGTGGGGGAGGCCAGGAAACGGCCTTTGAGCCAAATGAGCGACGCGAAGAGCCACCGTCTGCCGAAAATGACCGGAGAGAAACCCGCCGTACCATTGGCTTGGAGTTGCTCTTCCGGGGAGGGATCGGTGCGGCTAGCCCCCCACTCTGCCAAGGATGAGAAGAAGCCGGCCGAGCAGCAGGCCCCGCCGAAGAAACATCGCAAGCGAGACTCGTCCAAAGTCAACCCGAGGGATCCCTGCAAACAGGCGCCCAAAAAGCAGTCCCAGCTGTTCGAGGTGCCCATTGTGCCGCCGAATCTGGAGACGTTGCCCAAATACAGCCGCTACGCCCAGGAGAAGTTCCTGCTGCCGGTGGCCATTCGGGGCAAGAAGGACCTGGGCATCAACACGTTGGGCAGCAATCTGGCCAAGCTGAGGGTTTGGGTCTCCTCGCGCCGACCCATCATTGTGGTGCCCCAGGCGGTGACCAGCCTGATCACGTTGCACAACGCGAAGGAAGTGCTGCAGCATATGCACTTCGTGCAGAGTCCGTTGGATGCCCCACCTCCGGAGGAGGTCGTCATTGAACGCGATTTTCCGGTGAGCAATTCGCCATCAATCTCCCACCCACCTGCCTCTCGCTCATCCTCTGATTCTCTCTGGCAGAATGGCAAAACCCGGGAGTACCGGATCATCGATAACGTGTCGAAACTCTGCACCGACGAGTGGCAGCGTGTGATTGCGGTCTTCGCCCTGGGCCCCCACCGCCAGTTCCGGGGCTGGCCCTGGAAGGGCGATCCCGCCGTCATCTTCCGCAAGGTGTGCGTCTTTCACTTGCACCACCAGGACGTGGGCGTGCACAAGGATCTGCTGGAGATGGCGGTGCATCCGCTGGAAATCTCCAAGAACGAGCCGCACACGCACGGCGGCATATTGAAGGAGTTCTGGGGCACGTTGGACGAGTACGTTCGCACCCAGAGCCAGTTTTCGTTTCTGCTTGAGGAGGGGGCTTACTTTGCCCTGGGGTGCATTCCATTCTAATTGTTTGCCTTGTTTGTAGTTCTAAAAATTGAAGCAAATAAATAGAAGATTCAGATTGCAGTGCCCCCACGCTAGACGCATCTTCCATCCGCTTCCACTTCCACTTCCGTTTCCGCTTCTTCCCTCCATTTTGACGTATTTCTATTTGTATTTGCCACGCTTTTATTGTCGTGGTCGATGGCCGCCACAGAGAAGACATGAAAGGATTTGGCATTCGCTCGCATTTCCCTTGCTTTCTCTACTCTGTCTCTCTCTCTGCTGGGGGTCATGTTTAGCTTTTTTCACCCCATTTGTATGGCTTCCACCCTTGAGGGGTTTTCCAGCATCGCTTCGGTCTCTTTGGTCTCTTTGGGTGTTGCTTCTTGTTTGTTTGCGTCTCATTGAGCGTGGAACGGAGCCAGGAGCTCGAGAATGGGACCTGGAAAACGTTTTCGTTTGGATTTATTTGCTCAAAGCCAGAGCAAAAGTTGGCTTCTCCTTCGCGGGGGATGGGAGGGGCGGGGCATGGCAGGCGGTAAACTGTAATTGTCATTATGGCCCTGGGCAGTCAGCCCCAGTTACTTACTAACCTCCAACCCCTTTACCAGACAGACGGGTATTACCATTTGTATCCGAGGTTGGGCCAGGGCTCTGGCTCTACCCGTCATCTCTCGCGCTTGGGGAATGTTTGTCTTTGGCTTGAAAGTAAAGTGAAGGCGACTTGAGGCACTCACCCGCCACCCCTCTGGTGGCCCCCAGCCAAGAGCTTTTCATATTTAGACGTGCTACTTGCGGCCACGCCCACGCCCACGCCTGCAATGATCATCATAATCATTTAGAAGGAACCCTGAACTACCCTGAACCCACTCCACTCCCCAAAGTATCTATCAATATTTGCCTTTTCGGAGGAAGTTGGCTTTTGCCTTTTGGCGTATTTGTTGAGTTATTAACTGAAATTAAGAAAATTGAAATGCGTTTTCCGCATAAGAGCGTGAAATTAAGGTTATCTCCCTGTCTCCCTCTCTCTCCCTCTCTGGCCTGAACTTTTCTAATTATCAGATAAGATAATTAACTCAATTCTCAAGGCCTAAACCACAAATGGGTGGCAGAACGGAGCTTCAACAAAGGACACAGAAATGTTTTGAAATTTCTCTGCTGCAATGTGGCAATGGCCATGGCCCAAAACAATTGGCAAGCCGCCGAGAGTTGGCTGGAAAGTGCCATAAAAACCGCCACCGAATGATGCTGAAGTTTTCAAATAGCTGCCCAATGTGGCCAAGGGGGGGGGGGGGGGGGGGATGGGGCTAAATGCTTTTGTTTGATTTCATTTGCTTTAAAATGTTTCAAAATTCCGCCATAGATACATTTTTTGGTGGTTTTTAGTACCAAATGGTTCTGTTTCGAAGGGAATCTACACAGAAAGCAAATAGTTGGTGATATTTCAAGGCTCTTAGACATCAAGGATATATTAACTCAAGGAGCTACGCCCCTTGTGTTTGTGTTTGTGTGTACCTGAAGGAGACATCATGCCAGATGTGCCCCCGAGTCATCCATGTATCATAGACCATCATATCATGATAATGCCGCCTGATTAAGGGCTGAATAAGGCAATGATGGTGGTTGATATGCTGACTTTCGCTTCCCATTGTGCCCGGCGAAGGGATATTTGCATGTAGCCTGCGTCATCATCCTTGTCGTCATCATCAAAGTAATTGCAGATGCCACCGCCCCTTCCCCCATACCCTGGAGCACCATTGGAGCATCGTGACGTCGCTAATTTTGAGATTTTGTTTCCTGTTTCGCTTTATTTTGGGGACAATAAATAATCCAAGTAATTCAATAATTTGCTCAATGCTCTCGACTCTCAAAGCAACGCTCAAAATTATAGAGGCCTATAGAGTCCTGCGACAAATAGAGCTTCCGTGGAGACGCCACGCTATCGAATGAAGAGAAGCTCCTCGGTTTTCCCCTATAATTACGCGCCGTGTACTTTAAGAAGATTTAAGGGGGGTGGGGAGGGGAGGGGAATATCGGATCACAAAGAAGAGAAAATCCCCCCCCCAAGGGAGAGAGAGAGAGAGAGAGAGAGAGAGAGAGGTGCCAGAACAGCCCCCGAAGAAGCTGTCAAGCGTTGAATGTAAATGCCAGGCAGCCAAGAGATAAGCCCTCGCCAAGCCCAGGCCCAAGCCCAGGCCCAAACCCAGGCCCAAGCCCAGGCACCAGGAACAGCAAACAAGCCCAAGTGTCGTCCTTCTTTCTTGCCTCTCGTTGTCTTCGTTGTGCCCCCTGCAGCAGGGCTTCACGATAATGTGGCAGGACCTGGCACAGATGGAAGTATGAAAGGAATGCAAGGGTATCCTTAGCTTCGGTTAGCAAAAGCTCGCGAGCGACTAAAAATTAAAAGAAGGCAACAAAATGTGTACAAAAAATGATAAGGAATCGGCGCTGCCAACTTGACACAATGAACTTAATATTAATATGAAGTAAATAAAGGCGCCCCCCCGCACCACCGTCAAGTGTTGAAGCTCCCCCTGTCCACCCCCCCCCCCTCCCCCCCTGGCGCTCGGTTTGTATGTGTTGAAAAGATTTACGAGCCACGAAAATTCGAACAAAACTTTAAGAGAGAGCGCCAGAGAGGGAGCCATAAATTAGCCGGCTAGGAGGACTCCCGTCTGTGGTGTTTTGACAAGGCCTGGCCACGCCTTGGCACCCTTCCGACCGCTTCCGGTTATCCTTTATGGCAGCCAGTCCTTTCACCTTTGCCTGCCCCGGCGCGGCGCTTATTGTTATTGATGTTGTTATCAGTTGCAATTATTTTTCTGATTTACACAATTCGATGGCTGCCACCCCTTTCTCTTCGCTTTGTGACAATTTTCTCGCCTCGTTTGCGGTTTGCCAAGAGGCCAGAGAGGGGAAATGGCAGAGCGGGGAGCGGGAAAATGGGAATAACGGGAGGACAGTGGCTGTGGCGGTGGCTGTGGCAAGCAGGTAGGCATTCATCCGCTCATTTGGCCAGGGCTTATAGAACCAGGGTGAAAGTCCCTTTTTTTTTATTTCCCTGGGTTTTCTCCCTCTCTCTCTCTCTCTCTCTCTCTCTCTCTCTCTGTTTGCATTATTGACAGTTGTTGTGGAATAATCAGATTTAAAACGTTAAATGTCGTCGCTACTTGGGTGGGTCCTTGTCCTTGTCCTTTCTTCGCCTCCTCCTCATCCTCGTCCTCCTCCATTGCCATATTTTGCCTGCCATTGTTCCAGGGCCTTTATCTTTTTGTATTTTCTGTTTTGGCTTTGAATTTAAGTAGCAATTTCCTGTTTCGTCGAGAGGTGGAAAATGTGGAAAATTGTTGCTCGGCAAACGCTGTACAGTAGTGATAATATGGGGCTTATCAAGTGGGAAAAGCCATCATCGGTCATATACAGAAAATGGGGGGCAAGAACATACAGGATTTCCCAAGTGAATGGTTTATTTATGTGGAGATCCAGGACTCTGAGGAATCCCTGCACTACTCTTCGGGATAATTACGCAGCCATCGAGCAGTGTAATCCGATGTACAGTTGTTGGATGTTGTCTTATTTCACGTAAGCCGATTGCCCGATTGCTACATTGTCTATGGACCCCAAGATCTACATACATGTACAGCCATCTGCCCCAAAATTCGTAGACTGCCATTACGTAATGCATTTTGTCGGGTGTCTGCTGAGGGGCTCCACATTGAACATCCTTGGAGCTGGCCCACTCTACTCCGCATAATAAAATTGAATTGCTCATTCAAAACATTAAACTGTTTATTTTTGGATGGAAGATGTGGCATTCGGTGGCACAGGCAGCTGCAGAGGCGGCGGGTTCAAGTGGCAAGGCACTTCATCATGCCGCCTAATCATTTGACCCACTTGAGAGTTGTGCAAATACTTTTTACGTCCTCGTCTCCTGCTTACACACCCACATCCACCCACACCCACACCCACTCACGCCCTCTCTCTCTCTCTCATTCAGTGCCACTGTGCACCATTCTATTCGAATCTGCCCCACGCACACACTCACACACAGACACACACACACAGACACACACACACAGACACACACACACAGACACACACACACAGACACACACACACAGACACACTCAGGGACACATGAGCTGGTCTAATCCTTTCAACTGTCGGAGTCGGAGTCGCAGGCGGATATGGAGATGGAGATGGAGAGACCCGGACAGAGTCTCAGTCTCTGAGAACGGACGGAGTCGAGCAGTTTTGCATGCATGCAGCAATCGTTCGGTGGCAGGACAGGGAAGGAGTGACGGGGGGGAGGGGGGACGTTGCACACAAGTGAAGACAAGGAATTTGGAAAATCTCAGCTCAGTGTCAGGTTGCACGTTGAAAATTTGTCGTCATCGTGTCTCGCACACAAAAATGGCGTTAAGCATAGAATTTTGCCCAAGACAAGGTAAAGGGCGAGGCAGATGTGGCAGGGAGGACAGAAGGGGATTGAATGGACTAGGGCCAAAGACAAACACATCACAGAAAGAGAGAAGGAGACAGAGAAGGAGAGAGAGAGAGAGAGAGTGGCGGAGGGGGATGCGTCTTGGCTGTGGCTCAAGGATAAGGCAAGAAATAATAAATTATATTTTCCGTGATTTGTGTGTCTCTCTCTCTCTCTCTTTCTCTCTCTCTTTGTATCTTTTGTGCTTTTGGGATGTAATTTTCCAAAATTTAGTTTACTTAAAAGAAAAACCGCAACGAGAATGGTTTCCCCTCCCCCTCCCCCTCCCCTCCCTTGAGTCTTGAATTTTGATTCTGAATGAAATGTTGTTTTTCCCCACTCATTCGATAAAACAAATGCAAAGAGAAAACTCTCTTTCACTGGAAATATGTTGCGCAGAGAGAAGAGAGTCGCTCCCGCTCTCTTAGAGGCCGGGCCAGGGTTGCCAGCTGCATTTCGGACAGACTTAATTTCAATTAAACGCTGATAAATGTTGTCGAAGGTGGATTGGCATCGAGGGCCGGGCCCCGGTTCAACCACCCCATCATCGTCATACTTCCACATGACTTGACACTATTGAATCCTTATTAGTTGCGCTTTTAAGAACGTTTAAACT